AGCCTATACCATCTCAACCTAACCACTCAACCATCACGTTCTCAAACAATTCATCCCCACACAGCTACCTCCTAATGTATCACTTGCCCCTCCCTTTTATATTGTAAGCCCTCACGGCCAGGGCCCTCCTTACCATCTTGTCTTGAATTGTATTGTGATTGTAATGTCTTCCTTATATTGTACAGTGCTGCGCAAACTGTTGGCGCTATATAAATCCTGTATAATAATAATATTATAAAATACTAATCTGACCTTTTTTCACAAGCAAGTTTTTATTGTTTTACAAAAGTATCAAGTTGACAAGCAGTAACCTTACATACAAGGAAAAAAGGTCAGGCGAGTGAACAAACATGCTAGTAAGGTAATACAGTGCATACAATCATCATTCAAACGGATATGGGCTAACAAGAGTTTCTAGGGAACCAACCTCGCAGCTGCAAAAGTCTTGCTGTTTAGGTGGGGGTTTTTTTTTTGGTTGATCATGCGCTATAGAGGCCCTCTGTGGGATATACGTTGCGTGTGAGCACGGTTGTTACTATAAAGTTGCTTCAATTTGTATATTCATGTGCGTAAGCCGGGGGTACCTGAGAGTCAGAAGGTTTACATTGCGTAAAAGTTTTCATTGCTTCATAAAAGGTGCTCTATTTTGAAATGCTGTCAAGGTGCGTTCCACGGAAACTTCATACTTTAAAGTTGGTGAAAGGGAGGTGTATGGCCAAGGATTTTTTAGAGAGGCGGCATGAATTGTCAAAGTGGAATAGTAACGTAGAGGCCGCTGATGGTGGTATTGAGATTCCGGTGATGTCCCTAATGAGAGCTAGGACCTCTGCCCAGAAGGGGGATATTTGGGGACAAGACCACCAAATGTGGAGTAGCGAGCCCCCAAGTAGGGCGCATCGCCAGCAGACATCAGGAGAATCTGGGAAGATGCGGTGGAGTAACTCAGGGATTTTATACCTCCTTGAACGGATCTTGTAATTGGTCTCTTGAATTTGGACATTAGATGAGCTTTTCAACAGCAGGTTGTCCATCCTTTCCCAGTCCTGTGGGGAGAGGGTGATGGATAAGTCTCTGCCCCAAGCCTCTGAGGCAGGAGAGGGCTGTGAGGGGGAACCGGATAGCAGGCCATATGTTTCCGATATCAAAGAAGCGTAAAGATGTTCCTATTGTAGGATGGGATGTTATTTGGGCAGGTAGAAGTGAGCGTTGGATCCAGGGCCAGGAGTTGATAGGTATGTCCGATTGTAGTTGCTCAATCTGGACCCATTCTTTGTAAGGGCCATGTCGGCTCCAGTCTATTATACGTGTTAAGTGGCATGCCCTATAGTAATTTTGCATATGGGGGAAGCCTATACCCCCCAGACAGCTTCGAACGGGTAAGCGTGTTAAGCCCGATTCGTGGTGATTTTCCATTCCAAGGAAAGGTTCCAAGCATAGCGTTGATTGAGGGGAAAAATGCCTTAGGGAGAGCGATGGGCAGGGTTTGGAATAAATAGAGAAGAATTTGACCTTTTTTATCCTATGTTCATGTTGGTGCTGCTGCTCTCCTGGAGCCTCTTTCTTCCCATTTCCTGTCTACATTCATGCTCTCCATTGACGGCTGCATGTCTTTCCCCAGGGCAAGCTTGCTGATGGTGTCAACAGCGGACCATGCCTGTGTATTGGGTGTCAGCACAGCCACTTATAGTCTCCATAAAAAGCACTTGTGACAGCATTGCAACACAATAGAGCAGGGGTGGGCAACTCCGGCTCTCCAGCTGTTGTGGAACTCCAAGTCCTATGAAGCATTGCAAGACTGACAGTTACAGGAATGACTCCCAGAGGCAGAGATATGTTGGGATTTGTAGTTAAAGCACAGCCTGGGGGTCGGAGTTGCCCCCCCCACCTGGAATAGAGCAACAATGAGACATGCACAAGTGCTCGAGCAAGGACCTTATTGGCAGGATCATCAGGATTTATTTCAGTGAAAGCTACAGATTTAAAACAGATTGCAAATTATTATTTTTTATTACATTTACAAGCTAAAGATTATATGAGATTTTGGTGATTGGGTTCGCCTGTTGTATCCCTTTCCCTGTGGTATGTGTAAATTAAAATCCAGCAGGTTTCTAAACAAATCTTTCCAGTCTACATAAACAATTATCATTATCATTTTAAAGAACTTTAGGGAAAATAAAAAACTTACCACTGTATTGGGGCTTCTCCGGTACTGTAAGGGTTAAATATTGTTTGTCTAGGGGACTCAAATAAAGCAGATATACTCACCTGATCCTCAGTCCTGTGGTGGTCAGCACTCCCCTCCGCTCCAGCTACTCTACCTATGTCCCTCGGTATCTCCACATCTAATGCATGTCAATGGACCTGCATCGGACGTGATGACATCAGAGGCCCTAAACTGCAGAGTCCAAGGGAGAGGTGGCTGCAGGTATAGGTCTAGTAGCCCAGTTGTCGGTGGGACCAACAAACGGCTATATTTGAGCCCCCTAGGTAAAACAAGCTTTTACCCCTTGCAGTGTGGGGGTAGCCCCACTGCAAGGGTAAGTCTTTAATTTTCTTCTTTAAAAACTATTATTGTGCCTCTTCTTGGCGATGGCAGTGACTTTCCCATCCATAACATGGGAATGGATCATAGGGGTAAACCTTCTTACCTTGAACCCAACAGACCTACTGGGGGCTGTGTATATAATGCAGTCAAGGAAAGCCATGGTTTAAGGGAAACTGCATTATGCTGTCAGTGAGCATATATTTTATATGATATTCACATTTTTAGAAGTTTCACCTATTTTATGAAGAGATATTCTCAGAAACAGAGATATTCATACATTAGGCACTAGAATCAGGGTAGATTAGCTACTACAGTGACTCTGTCTAAGTACAATACAGCTGTTGAGATAAGATGTCAGCCCCGCGTGGAGTGCATTGTTTTTTCTGTGAGTTGGTTTATTGTTTATATTGAGATGATCTCTATGACATATCATCTCATCACATATATAGAAAAATGAAAAGACTCTACAGTCCCTTTCATGAGACGACATACATAACATGCAGCAACTTACCTCTGGCTTTCAGCGCTCTCCATAATCTGAAGACAATGCAGCTGTAATGTAATTTTGAATTGTCGCAGGTAAGTAACATACATCTTGTGGGTGCAGCCTCATTAACTGAGGCTTGTTGTGCCCCTAGTGTATACACAGTGCTCAGCTCTCCTGCTAACCGAATACATATATTAACACATATACACAAACACACATATATAGTGCAATTTACATAATGCAATGTATATGCATATATGATGAAATCTAAATTGTCATTTCAGTGAATCTGAGAATGAGGTGACTGCTACATCCTATTCCAACAACTCAAGGTATGTAAATAATACAGTGACTGTTATGTGAAAGCAATAAGACATTTTATTGAAATTGGTCACCTGAACAGTGATGAAAAATTGCAATGACAAAGAGATCACAGCATGTCAAGCTGATCACTAGATCCAGAAATGTACTTATAGGACCTATGTTGACTTGAAGCTATAAACAAATGTTGGCTTCTTTAGTTATATCTAGCTTGACAAAGCCTTCCTCACCTCCCAAGCATTTCTATTGGTCACTGAGCCTGCTCTTTACATGAAGGGACCAATAAGGAAGATCTAAAGGAGGGAACAATTTTGCCTTTTATTGGATATTTGCATATAACTTCAGCCTATATAATCTCTGGATCTACGGATTGTTTTGAAATGCGTTCTCACGGACAGGCACCTCTTCTTATTTGTTTTAAATCATACGTTCACTTCGAGTTGCTCAAGTTTGAGATTGGATTACTTTAATATCAATATAAAGCTTATGCATCAGCGTTAAACATAAATCTACTTATCAGTATTTTGCACAGATAATTCAGCGGAATGCACAGTAGAGGTGTGTTGGGAAATGGAAGGGGGTTATATTATTGGTGAGGGTGGGTTATCCTATGAAACTAATGTTTGTATCCCATTAACTTCATGATCAGCTTCAAGACATCAACTTTACAGTGCAGGTTAGAAAATGGAAGACTAGAACACCTCCAATCTGCTGGGATTTTTCTGAGGTAGTTTGGATTTTCACTCTTGCAGCAAGACAATAGCAAAGTCACTTTTATAGATAGATCCCCCAGTTGTTCATTCACTCTCTATTAGGGTCAATTAACAAAGCTGTGTGAGCCAGTTGCATGCGTCATTGTATGCATGTGGTGATCTTTGTCACGTCGCAATTTTCAGTTCAGGAAAATAAATATTGGATTGGTCTGGAAGGATTATTATTATTATTACTACCTAGGGTGTAACTATTGCCATTGCAGACCATGCAACTATAATGGGGTCCAGAAGCACGGGAGACCCAGCATTGTCTGGCCACACAGTGATTTATGCATGCAATAATAGCATTTTGCAACACATTTAAATAAAATTAACATATACGTGTATATAGTTTGGGAACTGTTACAGTATATGGTTGCTATGAACGCTATTTGTATATTCAGTATTATTAGAGTAATTGCCGGGTTCCCTTATCAGTTTTGCTATGGGGTCCTACTAAACATAGCGTGGGGCCTGATTGTTGTATGAAACTAAAGCTCGAATTTCTGCTGATTCTTGTGGAATCAGCCAAATACCCTTGACTGCACTACAAGGCTTGACATAGGTCGATTTTTCAATTGACTTCTGGCAAAGGCGCCGGATGGAAAATTTTAACAGTGGAATAGCGACTGGCTGCAGTCGCAGGCGCCGGCTGTCAGAATACACTAGGACAACAGGGGAGAGTTGTCCATTAACACTGTTTAGCGTGGATGGAGGAATCTGTTAGATTTGTTTTAGCTCAGCCCATAGGCTGAGCTAAAACACCCTGAGAAATATAAGAAGCCACTATGTAATTAACTTGCAGTGTAAAAAGAGTCACAATAAAGGATGGCGCCTCTCTAAAAAGGAGAACTTCTGTTTTCTTCCATTTAGCTGCCCTTTACGCACCATTGGAAACAGACGGCGATTAAGGCTCAACCATGGAAGAGAAGGAGGAGGATGAGGAAAGTCGCTCTGCATCGCTGATCGCTGTCCCAGACCAGGTCTCTTCGGATGAGGTGCCAGATGCAGTTGGGTGCATGACAAAAATTCGACAAGCTCTTCCGGATTCAATTGGCGAGGAGATGCGAAAAATCAGTGCTCTAGCTGGACCAGCGGTAATCAGTGCATATACATGTGAATGGTGCCATGCAGTCACTCCCAGCAAACACCCCCCGTTCAGTTTCATGGAGTTCCAAACGTTGCAATTTCATTCTTGCCCTTTCTCCTTGTCCAAGTTCATAAAAGTTAAATGAAGCAACTTGGTTGGGTAACCCCTTTTCTCAAATTGACTCTTCATACCACAGTCTCACTCATGAAGGGGACAGCTAATGCCCACCCCCGCTATACTAATTTGTTCAGGAGAATTTATGAAGAAGCCTTTGGTTACACAAATGTGTTATGTCATCAGTGTGTTCGTTTTTTGGCAGAGATATATTGATGATATGTATATTTGTTTTGTTAATATGAACGGGTCCACATTCAACCTTGTCCTTTATACAAGGACTACATGAGAAATATCCAGTTATAAATCTTCCTGTACATTGGAGTAAAAAGGAGATTGTTTATTTAAGATACACTGTTATGTAGGGACGGTGACAATGTTAAGAGTGATCTCTTTGTTGAGCCAACTGACAGAATTCCTTTTATGATATCAGAGTTTTCACTGTAGTCATTTAAAAGATAACTATGGCCCAACCTTTTTTTGCCATAGTTCTCTTTAGGGTCACAGGAGGACATATATTTATGTCCTCCTGTGACCCAAAACTCAGCATTTAGCTGGCTATTGCTATAAATATTTCACTCTCCCCATAATTCTCCTTAAAGAGGCAATAAGATAGTAATGTATCTTAAGAAGAAACAAGAGAGACTATGAGGTATGTGGAATAAATTTAAGAAAAGGGGATACCCCCAAATTGCTTGATTTAACTATAATGAACTTTGGCAGGTAAAAAGGGCAAGAATTAAACCTGATCTCCCCATATTAGAAAATATTTTTAAAACCGATTTTAAAGGACAATTTTAGTTTTGTTCTGGAATTTAGATCTAGTCCTTTGATTTCTTATAAGAGGGTTGATATTGATTCTAAAATCCCGAGATTGGGGCAGGTGTTCTTTTTGTGATAGGAAGAAGGGAATATTTTCTTGCCTTGGATGCACCCAATTCAACAATGTCCTGAAAGGTAAAACTATGTGCCATCTACATAAGGGGCCATTGCTTAAAATGATAGGCTTTTATATCTGCAACTCTGAATATGAAGTATATTGTTTGAGGTATTTATGTGGTCTAGTATATGTTGGTGAAATTACTCAGAGCATTACTTGTAGGATTTCCTCCTACAAGTCTTCTATATGCAATATTTTTTTAAAAGATCCACCCAGTCTCCCTATGAGAACTGGAGTTGATCTTCAGCCTAGGGTCCAGTGTGGGCTGCTGTGCTGTGATGGAGCTCCATCCATATGTGCATTGCTTGTACAGCTCCTTTGCAAGCCCTGTTGAGATACCGGCAGCCAGAATGTGACGTCACTCCGGTCCAGGCACCTCTACAGGGCACGCCAAGTCCTGTAAGCAATGCACGTATGGATGAAGCTCCCTCGCAGTCATACTCTCAGCCCACCCAACCTCAAACTGACACTTTTGAATGTCTGCTCAGTGCAAGAAATGACAGTGGTGCATTAGGGGGAGGCTAAAAAGCCTCTCACCTGGAGCAGTGGAAGGCACAGGGCAACCCTCGGAACACGGGGTTTCCACCCCCTTTTGGGGTTAAGAAAGGCTGTGTGCTAAGGAGGAGGAATGTCCATTAGTATTTAGCTGTTTGGCTGGAGTTTCCTCTGCAGAGAATGCTATGTGTGTGTTCTGGGGAAGTATAAGGGTCTGTGTCGATGGGCTCTTGGCTATTGTTGATGGACCAATTTGAGATGCTTCTAAGATCATTCAGAATTAATTGACAGGAACATTTGTCCTGCATTTGATGCCCTCCTGACCTGCATTTGACCAGCTTCAAGCAGGTTTTAATAAGGAAGTCCAGCGCTCTCAGATGTAGAACAAGGAGAGGCTGAAGGTATGGCTGTAAGGTGTGCGGCTCCAGGAAGGCAGGTGGAGATGTCCTGCAAGTTGTGCTCTTTTTCAAGCTTGTTTTGAATTCCAATAGACTGGTATGGGGATGTAAAATCTGTCTGATGCGAACAAAGTCTGTTGACACAGACCCTAAGGCCTATGACAGAGGATCTATGGGATGGAAACTCAACATGCAGGAAATATTCCATACCAATGTGCCAAGAAGTAGGGGTGCACCAATACCGTTTTTTCGGTATTTGAGTACGATTACAAATATTTTGCTTTTGGTGCTCGCCGATACTGAGTACCGATACCGGTGCATCTGCTTGTATGGAGCCAGCTTCCCAGGCAATAAGGAAAATGGGTGGGATGTAATGACATGCTGCCCGGCTTCCTGATTACTCGGGAAGCCGGCTGCATGTTGTTTGGCCCGCTCGATTGTGATTAGCCGGGAAACCAGCTTCCCAGCCAATCAGCATCAAGCCGGTTTCCCAGCCAATCAGGAAGGAGGTGGCTGTTTGGCCGGGAAGCCGGCTGATTCCCAGCCAATCAGCATGGAGCCAGCTTCCCAGCCAATCAGGAAGCCGGGAGGTGGGTCATTACTCGCCACCCGGCTTCTTGATTGCCCAGGAAACCAGCTCCATGTTCCCCTACGGCACTACCGGTCAGAGGAAATTTTCAGAGGATACTAGTATCGGGGCATCCCTACCAAGAAGTACCTTCCATAGCCTAGTATCACTGCTCCTTCCCAGCAGCACTAGAGAATATGTTGGGTGCACAACAGCCGAGGCCCGTCTTGCTCCAGCATCACCAGTTACTCACAGAAAAAAAGTCTGTTAGCACGCTAAAAGCTTTGCTGAAAAATGTATTATAGCACACAGGTACACATCTCGCCATGGATCCTTTTCACTCTACCTGTGTGATATAATAAATTTTTCAGTGAAGGGTTGCGGTGTGTGACCAGAATTTTTGCTGTGAGCAACAAGCTCTGCCTCTTCCAGGTGAAATGAGTTCTTGTTTGGACAAGCCACAGTGTTTTGCAACCAGGAGAGGATACAAAACTGCCTTCCCCTGTGAGGCATTTTTATTATATAATGGCATATCAAACACATTGGTGATTTGCAAAGTCAATTGCAAATTATTTCTCAAAGTAAATTGAAACCCTAAGTGGATAACAACTAGTCTGCAAAAGCACTGTGTAGCATAAACAATTGACTTTTTTTTTTTTAGCAAAATATTCTTTTTACTTTATTCATTTTTTTAAAAATCTCAGTACTGCCGATCTTCTCTGGTCTCTCTTAGCCACATCCTGCCTACCAGGGCTGGCTGCACTTCATGAGCAAGATACCCGATAGTGACAATGGTGGACCATGCCTGTGCAATATGTGTTGGCATGGACCCTTGCAGTCTGCAAAAGGGATGCATGTGACAGAGTGACAACGCAGGAGCACAACTGGGAGACAGTTGTCACTCCATAAAAGGAAGTATCTGAACTGTTACGACAGGATCACCAAGGATTTGTCACAGGGCAGAGCTCATGGGTATAAACTTGGAATCAGGTCTGTGGACCCTATCTACTGCATTGGCAGGGACACTTAGAGAAAAGGATGCGAGCAGTGTAGGCTGATGACTCCCAGCACTGGAGTACAAGCAGGGGAACTGAATGAGACAGTGGAAGACAGAATAGGCTGGTAGAACAAGGTACTAGGCAGGGTGCAGCAATGCTAGGCAGGTGGCATGGGATCCCCCAGGATGTGGAATCTAAGGGCCAGTCGGTGTTCACCAGAGCTCATGATGGTGGAGATGGACTTGGCTGCGTGCTGACCCCAGGTCACAATACCTAGGTTCACCCAACTCACCTAACAGCCAAGAATGGTGGACAAGGCCAGAGTTCTGGACAGATTGCAGACACACATAGAATGGACAAAACCAAGGTCAGGGACAGACAGATGACTAGGACTTCCAGGGACAATCCAAAGGATAGGGACACACTGAAGACTGGGATCAGCAGGGACAGGTCAAAGTTCAGGGCAGACTGAGGACAAGGATTGCCAGGGACCAGCCAAAGGTCAGTGCACCGGTAACTCCAAGGAATTCTAGTTCAATGGCAACCGGGGGGGGGGGGGTGGGGGGGGGCGTGGATATATT